TGTTCAAAGAGGATGGAATTGATGGAGTGCTGTATTAATGTGTTCTGTTCAAAGAGGATGGAATTGATGGAGTGCTGTATTAATGTGTTCTGTTCAAAGAGGATGGAATTGATAGAGTGCTGTATTAATGTGTTCTGAGCTGGGAACTTTAGAATGGTGGATTTCAGGATTAATGCTTAATCCTCTCTTTTTGCTAATCTCAAGACTAACATAATCGCGAGATTATGTTAGTCTTCAGATTAAATATTTAGATATTCAAATTGGATTCTAAGAACGCCAGATTGGTTCGTTTTCCTGACTGGAAGTGCCTTCACTTAATTTCTCACCAATTTATTTATTAATACATTAATTAAAATTGGTTACAAAAGAATCTAAAACATATTTTTAAATATTTTTCTTCACCGATTAATTTAAAAAATGGCCGACCACAAATTCTTAATTTGTTAGAAATTGCGGATTTCTCTCATGGGACAGAATTAATTTCAAGGCTGTAATTGGTCAATACGAACTATATTCCTGCACGCTCATTGGAGAAAATAATGTATGGATATCCAACAAGTTCTAAATGAGTGGATTAAGGACTAAAATTAAAAGTTTCCACAGTGGATATTTGGATTAAGTAGTCAGGATTAAAGCTTATCCATTCTAAAGTTCCCAGCTCTGTTCAAAGAGGATGGAATTGATGGAGTGCTGTATTAATGTGTTCTGTTCAAAGAGGATGGAATTGATGGAGTGCTGTATTAATGTGTTCTGTTCAAAGAGGATGGAATTGATGGAGTGCTGTATTAATGTGTTTTGTTCAAAGAGGATGGAATTGATGGAGTGCTGTATTAATGTGTTCTGTTCAAAGAGGATGGAATTGATGGAGTGCTGTATTAATGTGCTCTGTTCAAAGGGGATGGAATTGATGGAGTGCTGTATTAATGTGTTTTGTTCAAAGAGGATGGAATTGATGGAGTGTTGTATTAATATGCTCTGTTCAAAGAGGATGGAATTGATGGAGTGCTGTATTAATGTGTTTTGTTCAAAGAGGATGGAATTTATGGAGTGCTGTATTAATGTGTTCTGTTCAAAGAGGATGGAATTGATGGAGTGCTGTATTAATGTGTTCTGTTCAAAGAGGATGGAATTGATGGAGTGCTGTATAAATGTGTTCTGTTCAAAGAGGATGGAATTGATAGAGTGCTGTATTAATGTGTTCTGAGCTGGGAACTTTAGAATGGTGGATTTCAGGATTAATGCTTAATCCTCTCTTTTTGCTAATCTCAAGACTAACATAATCTCGAGATTATGCTAGTCTTCAGATTAAATATTTAGATAAACAAATTGGATTCTAAGAACGCCAGATTGGTTCGTTTTCCTGACTGGAAGTGCCTTTACTTAATTTCTCACCCATTTATAATTAATACATTAATTAAAATTGGTTACAAAAGAATCTAAAACATATTTTTAAATATTTTTCTTCACCGATTAATTTCAAAAATGGCCGACCACAAATTCTTGATTTCTTAGAAATTGCGGATTTCTCTCATGGGATAGAATTAATTTCAAGGCTGTCATTGGTCAATACAATTTACGAACTATATTCCTGCACTCTCATTGGAGAAAATAATGTATGGATATCCAACAAGATCTAAATGATTGGATTAAGGACTAAAATTAAAAGTTTCTACAGTGGATATTCGGATTAAGTAGTCAGGATTAAAGTTTATCCATTCTAAAGTTCCCAGCTCTGTTCAAAGAGGATGGAATTGATGGAGTGCTGTATTAATGTGTTCTGTTCAAAGAGGATGGAATTGATGGAGTGCTGTATTAATGTGTTCTGTTCAAAGAGGATGGAATTGATGGAGAGTTGTATTAACGCTAAATTAAATTCAATAAAGTTCAAAAATTTTCAATATCTCAGAATTTTAAAATAAATATTTAAGAAGATTAAAACTAGTATGAGATGTATTGGGTTATTCACAAAAGATGACACTCTAATGACGAACTGAAAATCTTCAATTTTTAAAATCTGAAGGTTAAATTTGGATTTAGTTCTTTGACAGAGGTTTTAAATGATTTTGCGAAGAAAGCATAAAGTTTAAAGCTTCCATTAATGGGAGTAAAAAAGTCTGATAAAATTCCAAAATAAAAGTCTCATCCTTTGTCGTTAACCCTGTAGACTGAGGTCTAAACTGTCATTGAGACTAATTTAGGACTCGAGCTCAGGGGACTAAGTTGCTGCTAATTTTCTATAATTTTCTACAGAGTGGGATTTTAAACCGGTTTATGTTGTATAAAGTTTTCCTGGTAAAAGGATTCAAGGGATTTGATTTAAATAAAACCAACCAAGGTCTGTTTTATTTTCATCGGGCATAATTCCTTAAGTCAAGTCTAAGAGCTGGCAGCTGTCGATCACATGACACAAGCTGTCCTCAGCTGATTCATAAATTAGGTCTAAGATTGAGCCATAAGCTTTGGTCTAAGGAATGTCTTGAGCCAGAGCTTTTAAATCGTCGGCTCTGGCTGAATGAATATATTTAGTTCCTGAACATCAGGTAGATGATCCTCCTCTAGGTCCCCGTTCAAGTAGAAGAGTAGGTGCCAGATACCAGCGAAGGTTAACCAGGATACAAGGAAACTAGATGTAAACCCTGAACATGTTCACAGTGAGAACCAGAAAACTCCGGAGAAAAAAGGACGATTTTTAGACTCAAGTTATGATTTTAAATAGTCCAGTTAACATAGACGCAGCCCTTGATCACTGAAAACAAATTCATTTCACGGAATGAGTGATTTAATAAGTTACTTATACGGTCGTTGGCGATATTATGTTTAAAAGCTGGTTATAAATCAAAATTGAAATCGAAAGTCATCTTATTATATTGATATAATCGCCTACCACCGTAGTAAAACTATTTGCTTTTTCAATTACGCATTACTGTCGTCTTCCTATTCCACAGTTTTCAGGTTCTTACTGATTTAGGATGAACGTTGAAGACGCGGTCAGATTAATGATTAGCGGGAAAATATTAAATTGATCTAAATTAATTCTCCTGTGCACTCTTGGTCACACTAGAGAATTAGCTTAACTATCCGTACTTCTTGCTATTTATAAAATTTGACATTTGATATCTCAAAAAAGTATTTTAAAAGGATTTAAAAAAAAATGTACATCGCCACTCCAGTCTTAAATTACACAATTAATTTCAAGTTTAATTTCATGCAAAAAGAGGAACATGGATAAATAAAGTAAAACTGGATAAATGAACATGTTCAATTTTTATCTATTCTAGGACCTATAAAACATCTTTGAAAAATGTAAAATATCAAAAGATCACCAAATGAACGTTTGTTAAATGTTTTTATTTAGCAAACACGAAACCCCAAAATATTAATAAAATTTTATTAGTAATTTTTTAAAATATGATTCGAAAGAATAAGAGTGAGAACTAGAAAACGATGGAAAAGGAAGACGAATTTAGGCTCAAATTATAATTTTAAATAGTCCAATATGCATGGCATCCAGCAGTTGTGCAGTAGACACAGACCCAGTTCGATTAATGCGTAGATTTTTTAGCTGCTAGTAAAACAGTTCGCTTAATAACAGCATCAATTTCACAAAATATTAAATATCGTCTTTTCCCCCCAGTTGTATGGGCCTCACTGTAAGAAAGAGTATTTGAACCTAGAAAAATGTATCTCCATCTGAGGTCAACACAGGTTGTAAAGATATCATCAATGTATCTGGTTTTTCTCTCATTAAGACCATGATGAGCAATCTTCAAAGTTCCGTCTTTATCTATCAATCTTCTCTCTTCTTTATTCCTCTGCCTGGAACAGATATAGTTTAAAGGGATTGTTAACACATTTGACCAAAGAGTGCAAGGTACCAACAGTTAAAGGGAGACTTCGTAATTTAGCTCCTCATGGTTCTTAATGTAAGTTTTTCTAAAATCTGATATATTCATCATTTATGTTTGTTTAAAGCAAAATTACACTAATACTCTTTTCTCTGGATATCGCATTTTATGATTGACAGGGTTTGCCAAAAAAAACAGGTGCAATACAAGACTTTTAGCATGAGTATAGTTTAGTTATTCAGAGGTGGTTTTCAGAAATGGAGTTTCTTGGTTTCAGTCTAGTGTTTTTTGTTTCCTAAAAATGTCCATAATTTAATTTAAGAAAATTAATAATTTTCAGTTGTAGATTGAATATAAAATTCTGAATATTCTGAATAACGAAAGATGAATTCCTCTATAGAAATTTTAAGTATATTATGTAAATTATAATATAAAAATTTGTAAATTATTTTTTTAAGAAATTCATCTAATTGAAAATGTATCTTTTTAATTTTTTAAAACCCCACCTTCTTATTGGACTAAAAGCTAAAATAGCCTCACGCATGGGACTAAATGCATTGCAAAATCTTTGATTCATATTAAAAACTAGACTTTTTCTGAAAATTCGAAGATAGATTTATAATTTTATATCCTTCAATGACTTCACTTAAAATTATATTTTTGTTTCACGTTTGCTTCACGGTTTAAAGATTTGGAATATTATTATATGGTTCACTTGCTAACAGTAGAAGTATTTTCAACTCAACAAATACCAAGTGAAAACTGAAAAGCTTTGATTCATTTCAGATGTAAACAGGTGTACTCAATACTCATATATCGTAAGTGTGAATAAACTAAAGTACCCAATGACCTGAGGCCGTTCCTTCCATAAACTACATTAGTCGACAACTTAATGTCTCTTGGTCGTCAAATGTACGGAGAATTCTATCTATCAGATAAGAATTTAGCATGAGACATCTAGCGGCCAACATATCGTCCCCCAAAGTACGTGAACTACACGACCACTTTTTTGTCAAATCAAATTAGACCGCGTCAATGGGTCTAAATTACGATTTGGGTGACAAATCAGAAAATTTAAGAAGAATGAATCATTTTGAAAAGATTTAATAAGGCTAATAGAATTTTTTTTGCAGAAAATGCTAGATTTTTCGAGTATTATGTGCGTATTTTGGCATTAAAGATTGGAGATAATCTAATATGATATGGGACGCTCTGTACCTCTCAACTAGAGTATATAAAAAAGCAATGTGCTTATCTTTATCACCCTCAACTAAGCTTTTGTTGCGTTCTGCAGTAATTTGCAGTACACTGGCAGAAGATATTGTATAGTGTAGTGGACAGTGTTATACTGCTTGTGTTAATTACAATATGATCCCTAGGATGCAATCAGGATAGTCAAGTTCCATTCATTGTGAAGTCTCAAACATTCACAATCTTAATACTGTTTTGTTTAAGTATTAGCTTGGGAACCCAGCGTTGCCAAGATTAATCATAATTACTCCCGCCGCTTACCCGCACTTGGTGTAAAATTACGACCCACTCTATTTAGAATCTCAAAGCCAAGCTAAGAACATTCCCGTGGTTCTCCAAAGTTCCCTAATAAAAATTTGATGCAAATCGGTCCAGGGGTTCATAAGTTATGATCAGACACACAAATAAACAAACAGAGATTACTACTTTTTATATATAGAAAGACATTTAAGAAAGGTTCAGTCAAGGAGTATGAAATAAAAGGGAGATATAACTGATGTGGCCCGCCCTACCATATGATTATACATGCTTTGCAGACGGTACTTTATTTGTATAAGAAATATTTGTCTGATGTACAATTACCGCGTATACAATAACCTATTCTGAATATTTCTTATACAAATGGAGTACCCGTCTGCAAAGCACGCATAATCTTATAGTATGGCGGGCCGCGTCAGTTGTATCTCCCTTCTATATCATACTCCTTGGGTGTAGTATATTAACGAAGAAAACAACACTCTACCCGTATTTTATTAATGAATCAAAAAAATGAAAAAAACATTGGAAATTATTTTACCTAAACTCTTGAATCATCGAATATTATCTATCATTAATGATAAGGTTTCATATCTCAATATTGTCTGAAAATCTATCTGATAAGGTTCCATATCTCAATATTGTCTGAAAATCTATCTGATAAGGTTCCATATCTCAATATTGTCCGAAAATCTATCTGATAAGGTTCCATATCTCAATATTGTCTGAAAATCTATCTGATAAGGTTCCATATCTCAATATTGTCTGAAAATCTATCTGATTACAAAGATACCGAGTTACCCGCAAAGAATTTTCCAATGATACTGTACGGAATTTATTTGAAAATTTGTCTAATAATAATGGCCTCATGCAGTTGTAATCTTTTACAATAAGACTCAAACAATGTATTTTGGGAAGAACCCAGAATTTAACCTGAAAATCGTTGTATTTAAATAGTTTTAGGTTGTCAAGGAAGTCTCATTTTTTTAGGGTCCCCCTGTATGTGTTCACTCAAGTGTCCGTGGTGTGAATGGAGCCCAGGTCCCTGTGTTAATGTTATTCTAATTTACTATATAAACAAACGAGGGAGATAGGACTGTAGTATACTTTAAAAAGCGGAGAGGAGGTCAAACTTTTGTGTTGTGAGAAACGGGATTAAAGGGAGTGTTCGCGAAAATGAAAGGGGGTAATAGGCATACGGCGAAAAATAATCGTTTTGGATCGCTACTGATCTTATTTCTATCTGTTGCGTTTATAAGGAGAAAATTGTTAAAAACGACTTGCACCACAGAATGTAGAGTTCACACAAATTGAGAAAGTTGCAACATACAACTTGTGGCAGAGACACATAGCGGGAAAAAAATTGTTGTTTCAAGTGCATTGTATATAAAAAAAAAAAATTATGAAATATCAACTATATACAAATGCGTCGAAAAATAATTGATGAATATAGGTTTTATTATCTAAATGAATTGTTTGATATTAAATTGATTTTTTTACGATCCCAGTCGTATATTGCAATTTGTATGGATGCTCGGTACAAGTCGCTTTTACCAATTTTCTCCTTATAGACGCAACAGATAGATGTAAGATTAGTAGCTATCAAAAGCGATTATTTTTTGCCGTAAGTCTAAAACCTTCTTTCATTTTTCGCGAACACTTCCTTTAAGAGTTATCCGTAGATTTTGTTATCCAAAGGATTAAATTGATTCCTACTTAATATCCCTTGGTCGGAATTTATGACCGAGTTAATATAAGGTTCAAGCGCATTATCGCGAAGTTTAAAAAATGTTTCAAAGAATACCGAGCGTGGTATAGATTTAAAGCTTTTTTACATAAATGTTTTGACTTTATATGTTTTATAATTATTCGAATATTTCTATAAAAGTATAAGTTACCCCATTTGAAAAGTTCAAAGGCAGACGAGTTTTCAATAATGCCTTTTTTGATTCATTCCCTAGCATTTATTAATAAAACAAAATATAAACTATTGTAACGTATCTTTAATCAATTTATTGGTACATCCTGTATAAACTAAGCTAAACAGTACAGTAGGAGTCCATTTATTGGTACACCCTGTATCAAGCTACAACAGTCCATGCAGAGTCCATTTATTGGTACACCCTGTATCAAGCTACAACAGGACATGCATAGTCCATTTATTGGTACAAGCTGTATTAAGCTACAACAGTCCATGAAGATTCCATATATTGGGACACCCTGTATCAAGCTACAACAGTCCATGAAGATTCCATATATTGGGACAACCTGTATCAAGCTACAACAGTCCATAAAAAGTTCATTTATTGGTACACCCTGTACAAAGTCCATTAAAAGTTTATTTAATCGTAACCCTGTATCAAACTACAGCAGTCCGTGAAAAGTCCATTTATTGGTACACTCTTATCAAGTCCATGAAAAGTCCATTTATTGGTACACTTTGTATCAAGTCCATGAAAAGTCCATATATTGGTACACCTTGTATCAAGTCCATGAAGAGTCCATTTATTGGTACGCCCTGTATCAAGTCCATGCAAAGTCCATTTATTGGTACACCTTGTATCAAGCCTATGAAATGTCCATTTATTTGTACACCCTATATCAAGTCCATGAAAAGTCCATTTATTGATTGGTACACCTTGTATCAAGTCCATGAAAAGTCCATCGACCAATATCTAATTTGCATTTAACTAAAACCTGAATTGGATATTTTACCGATTCTTCAATTTGAATAATATTTGTTAAATTTATCAGCTTCAGACTTTTCTACACAATTGTTGAAATCAAAATATTCACGTTAAATGTACCTAACCTAATTAAAAAATACTAACCGTCAAAATTAAAAAAAAATTTGCCCTTTTGTCGCATTTTTTGACTCTTTTTCGTTTGACCCTGTGTCGTTTGACCCTTTGTCGCGTTTTTGACCCCTTGTCGTTTGACCCTTTGTCGGTGAATCAAACTATTTTATAGAAATTAGTTTAACTTTTGGATAGACATTTTTAACAAAGGTTTGAACACAAAATATATTAAAAACATATGGCCTTGTATTAACCTTACCTATAGCAGATTATCAGAGTTTATTTTACATCGATCCCCATAAAACTGTGAAGTTAAAAAGCAAACACTGCGCCCCATATTCTTTAAAAGATATAAAATCATTTCTAGTTTTCCTTCCTTATATTCCATAGTTTAATGGGGACCTTCTTAGGTTTTACCTCAAATAACATTTTGGAAAATCCTCTATGGGCAATTGGGAAATTAAGCGTCTGTGGAATAAGAGACTATGAAAGTTTCCAGAAAATAATAATGAAACTAAACTTTTCTTTTTAAAAATCATAACGTCATTACATAAACTCTGAACAGGCATCAAACGCCCCAGCCCCTCCACTTTTTTGTCCTAGCACTCGCATTTCTAAGGAAAAGTAATTAAAATTTTTAAATTTGTTAATGCATAGAATGTACAGGGCGGTAATTAAAGCTACAGATCAAAAAATTGCATTTTTGAAAAGCCCTTGATAAATGGATGTAGAAACATGTGTCACATCTTAATATTTGTCAAAAACAAAACAAAAATAGCTTTTTACATTTTTTTCGGAAAAATTGTTTTTTACATTTTTCTGACCATTTATAACATTTTTTCAAACGTCTCTGTTAAAATTAGCGGTATAATTTTTTTCAATGTGCTAGCCTTGAAAAACTGGAGTATGAATTTGCATTGGAAGTTGCAACCCTACCTTTCCTCAACGGTCTTTTTCTTCCTGGTTAAGCATAAATTCAAGTTGTGAAGATTAGGAAAGTTTTTACACCAGTCATCCATCTTGAGTGCTCTTAATGGGGACCAAACAAACCATAGATTAATAAAAATACAGATAGAACACTAGATGTCGTCATTCCAAGATTTAGGGGTTTTTCGTACACAACAACTCTGAATCAGAGGTCCAAATGAGTTACGCGCGTGCTCTCTATCTGTCTTGTCATTCAACGCGGCATGCGCGTAACTCCTTAAGGCTTCTGCCTCAGGGTTATTGTAAACGGAAAACCCCTAAATCTTAAAAAGACGACATTTTGTGTTCTATCTGTATTGTTATTAATCTTTAAAAAGAAAAACAAATCCATTTAAATGATTGTAAACGAAATACAAGAAACTGAGTACTTATGAAAGTTTTGACAAAATGATGAATGATTGAAAAGAATTGAGTATTTGCCACAAACCATACATACTTGCAACCCAAAATCGTATACCTTAGATAATTAAAACTATGAATTCTGTTGGATCATAAAATCATGCTTTAAAAAAATCTAAGGTTTACACCATCAGATTGCAAATATATGGGGATCGTAAAATTTGAGTTTGTGTCAAAGGCTTATAAATTCATTTGTGAGTTAATTTTGTTTGAAGGTTGATAGAATTACTTTTGTTGATTCAACAATAATTGAAATTAATCATAATTCGATATTGCTGAATTATCGATTGAATCTTGCTGATTTGAGTTTTCATCCTAAATATTTCACAGAATTATAATTTAAAAATTTAGTCTATTAAAGCTTGGGGATTAGGAATTAGCGAAAATATTTCTTTTTAGTTTTGCATTTGGCAGAAATACCGGTAATTTTCATCATTATTTATTTATAATTGTTTAATGGACCAATTACTTATCATGACAAGAAGATTTTAAACCTATCAAAATACAAGTTCGGAATTGACGTGTTCACGATTCAGTGAATTTTATTTTCATTATGACATTAAATACTTTTAGTAAGACAAAGGACAACTTAGCACATTAGATCTTTTACAGAAACCTGTGCCACGCAAAACTCAATAGAGCTTTTTATCTTCGGGCTCTATTGGAATAAACTTATTCAAGTTCTGGTTTATCGTTCTAAGGCCATGAAAAATAGCGTCGTGGTAATTTCCATTCTTATTATTCAGAACGTTCGTAAAAGTATATTATTGGAAAACAAATTTTTATATCCGCTAAAATTCGTAATTAAAAAAAAAGTTTGTATGGTTAGATACTCTGGATGCGCTCCGATGTACTATGCTTGAAAGCTGTAAAAGCTGAGAAAATATTTGCGCCCCCCTCCCCTCTCACCAACAACGTTGTCACTTCATCTTCCGCCAATAATCAGTAACGTCATATGAGGATTTTTTCAACTTCTATGCCGACGACATGTTTATATAGTACAGTGGAGCGCATCCCAAGTATCTAACCTTGGTGATACGGGAAGCCGTAGTATTTACATTTGAATTTCCGAGCCTGGTCAACCTTTCCGAGTTTATACTGTGTCTAGCTCTATGGACAGGACCAGCCGGTGCAACATGGTTGACGTGTTCGGACTTTATGCTTCATATAGGTTGAATTTAATTTTACTAAAGGGGCAGAGGTGCGTGCAGTTCCGTTACCTGAGCTCTGAGAGAGCATACACCGATCCAACAGAACTGGTTCGTTTCCCTATAGAGTCAACACGTACCAACCCAGACCCATCCGTATCCTCTGGTAATTATTGTAAATGTCAAATCTATCATGGTTGATTTATTTGTAAATTCTGACTACAGTTGTCCTCGTTTATATTTCTATATAATCTATTTAAAATTCTTTTAAAAAATAATTAGCATGTACACACAAAAGAGTTGTCAATTAAAAGCTTTTCTTTGTTTACTTTTAAACTTGTAATTTGAGAAATTCTTGTTAGGGATCAAAGCATATTTAATTAACTGTATCCACCATAGTTTCAGTAGAAGTAAACATATCCATTTACTGATAGCGCCGATAACTCTAATTGGATAATGAGTTTCTATTGTTTCAGAATAGACAACAAACGCATGACTGAACCCTGATTGGATCAGGCGCTAATGGATTCGGCATACAGGCTGTATCACTGTATTCAGTATTATTAATTGCACACCACTGTATTATAATAGATAGATTCAAAGGGCATATTTCTGAAGAACAAATAAATTGCAAATAAAACAATCCTAATTTACATTTTCTTATAAATATAAAGACAGACTGAATATTGGTTGTTATTTTTTTAAGCTAGGGTCTAATTTTGTACAAGAAAAAGTTTGTGTCAGTAAAAGGTTTTTTAAACGTGGCGAGAATTTTTTCTCACGTGTTTCCACTAAACATAATTTTAAAAGTGTTTAACCTATTAATCTAATTCATTTTTAAAGACAACATTTAATCTTTACCTGGACCAACAGATCCGCTGTTCATCCTGCTTACTCTCAACCATCTTGACAACTTCCGGTTGGTGTCTGTCAGAAATCCTCAAAAATTAGATTATTCATTGGATATTCTTTAATCAATGGATGAAAAAGTGGCATTGTCCGGTTTAAACATTACCCTTAAAAGGTTTGATTGATCAATGATTGAGATGTCATTGCTTTTATATCTGAAAAAACTCTAATTTTTAGTTGCGGATCTCTGCAATAGTCATGGGTGAATTTATGCTGCAAAGACAGTTCAGACAATTTTAAGAATTTAAACGTACAAGCCAGAAAAACAACGACGACCTACACTTTATTGTTATTCTGATAAAGGACTAAAGGGTAACGATGTGAATCGATCCATATAAGGAAGAAAAACGTCATAGTTGCTTAAGTAAACGTTTCCGCCATAGTTGCCTAGGTAAACGTCTACGCCATAGTTGCTTAGGTAATCTTTTCCGCCATAGTTGCTGAAGTAAACGTTTCCGCCATAGTTGCCTCGGTATACGTTTCCACCATAGTTGCCTAGGTAAACGTTTCCGCCATAGTTACTTAGGTAAACGTTTCCGCCATAGTTACTTAGGTAAACGTTTCCGCCATAGTTGCTTAGGTAAACGTTTCCGCCATAGTTGCCTAGGTAAACGTTTCCGCCATAGTAAACGTTTAAAATGATACAGCTGTGAAATTTTTGATGGCACTCGTTCAAATAACATTTGTTAAAATAACATTTATAACCATGTTAATGAGTATTTTCCAGATAAATGATTAAATCACTGCTTGATAAACATTATGAAAATAATTAAAAAGATGAATTTTGAATAATGAACTAGTAATCCTAAACTTCATCTCTGTTCAGCCTAAAGCTTAATACCGATTAAACATCATCAAAGGAGAATATTAATTTCATTATTTACTAATTACACCCACCTCACCCATATAGTACAACAGAGTACACAGAGAACAAAACACAGTACACAGAGCACAGGATATATAACACAGAACACAGAGTACATAGTATAGAACAAAGAACATACTACACAGAGCACAGTACACAGTACACAAAATACAGTACACAGAACACAGTACACAGAAAACAGTTCACAATACACAGTACAAAGTTCACAGTACACAGTACACAGAACACAGTGCAAAGTACAGAGTACACAGTCCACAGTAAACAGTACACAGTTCACAGTACACAGTTCACAGTTCACAGTATACAGAACAGAGTTTATAGGCAAGAACTTTTAAAGAAGGACATTTCATTGGCAGAGAGACATTTTCATTGATAAAAAGAGAAGTACTAAATCTTTGAGAATTTTGATCTCGTTGTCACAATGATGTGTTCTCTGAAATATCATAATCATAAAATGCCCTATCCAATAATGTCTTAACTAAGAAATGTCCTATCTATGAAATGTCATACCTATGAAATGCCCTATCTCCCTATCTATGAAATGCCCTAAACATGAAATGTCTTCTATAAGAAATGTCCAAACTATGAAATGCCCTATACTTGAAATGTCTTCTATAAAAAATGTCCTAACTATGAAATGCCCTTTACATGAAATGTCTTCTATAAGAAATGTCCTAACTATGAAATGCCCAATTCATGAAATTTCTTCCATAAGAAATGTCCTATCTATGAAATGCCCTATATTTGAAATGTCTTTTATAAGAAATGTCCTAACTATGAAATGCCCTATCAAAGAAATGTTCTAACTAAGAAATGTCCTATCTATGAAATGCCCTATACATGAAATGTCTTCTATAAGAAATGTCCTAACTATGAAATGTTCTATCCCAAAAATATCCTATCTATAGAATGTCCCAAGATGTATTTAGGTTCCAAAGTATAAAGAGTACGCAATACACAGAATATAATACATAATGAATAGGCCTCATGCCTTAAAGAGAGATGTAAAATTTCACCCCCCATTTCGAAAGAAAAAAATCGTGTAAAAATTGCCTAAAATGGCAAACTTCATGGGCCTGGAGTGAAAATTAAATAGTAAACAGCACAAATCCCTTAAAAACAACATCATTTTTTCTTTAACATATCAGGAACAAAATTTCAATTTCAATTACTTTTCAATAAGTTAAAATTTTAAAACAAAACTTTTGCGTTGATCAAATATTACATTGAAAGTTTTATGAGATAATCCTTTTCATATTCTAGAAGAAAACAGAATTAACTTTGTTGAGAAAGTGGGTAAAGGCAAAAGTAAGTTTAAGTAAAAGTAAGTTTGTTTTTAATCTTTGTGGCAGAAACAATCTCAAGAACTGACGAGGGTCAACCCAGACCGAAATATATCCATCCATCACCATCACCGAATTTTAAAGGTAAGTTTAAAGAAGACAAAGGATTGCAATGACGGGAAATCGGAGGTAAACTTTATGAATGATGTTTTAAAAGGATTTCAAATCATTCTTATTTTCAAGATTTCTTAGAAAAGAAATGTTCCATATAATATCGTCCCCTCTCTGAAATGTTCTCTAAAATATTAATTTAAAGGTAAAGGATATTTGTTTTTGAATCCCTATTTCTTTGCAACCTGATAGTGTAAACCTTTTATACTTCCAACTAAGATTATTTGATCTAACAGAGTTCATATTTTAAAATATCTAAATTCAACAACAATGGGGGCGCAAGATATAGGGATAAAAAAACAGAGTTTATGGTAAAGACTCATATCCCTTTTTATTGTATTAGAATTCATTTTTGATTGATTCTTCTCAAGTTTCTGACCAACATTTCTGCTAAGAAATACAGAGCGTCGATTCCATATCATCTTAGATTATCTCCAAGCTTTAACAGCAAAATAACATCTTAGATTATCTCCAAGCTTTAACAGCAAAATACGTAAAATACTCGAAAAGCCAAGTATTTTCTGCAAGAAAACTTTTATAGTTATACCATGGACATTTTTTAAATGATTCATTGTTTTTAAATTTTCTTACAAGTCCCTAAATTCACCATTTTGTGCTAAAACGAAATAATTTGATGTGGGACACCCCGTATGTAAAAAAATATACAGGGTGTCCCATTATATTGGTTCATGTCAATATACAGGGTGTCCCATTATATTGGTTCATGTAAATATACAGGGTGTCCCACATTATATTGGTTCATGTAAATATACAGGGTGTCTCATATTGTGATTGATGTGACAAATAAGAAAATCTAAATAGAACGAATCATAGTATATTGCTAATATAAAGATTCGCATATAGAAAATACTAGTTTTTTCGTGTATTATGTGCAGAGGCGCAACTTTTTCGAAAATTTTTCTAAAACAGAAGTGCTTTTTTAAGGGTTTGAAGTCGAAAAAAAAGGAAATTTTAAGTTGTTGCATGCAGATTTGGCTGTGTTCAATTCAAATCGATTTTTTGTTCTTGAGTTTTTACAAAATTTATACTTCCAACAGCTGTAAAATGAACTATATGAGTCAATTCATTGAATATGTGTGCAAATCGCAAAAGAGTATTTTTTAAGTACCTGGTTTAATTACAGATTAAATTGCAAGAAATAACCATCTATAGTTTCTGGAAAAAAAACATAAAAATACATAGGTAAATAATAATTTCAATCATCTACATTGAAAAAGGACAGATAATGTTACCTTTTCTCTTGAAGTTATTGAATTAATGATTGATCTAACCAACATTCATAATCTAAATTCATTTTCGATTTTACAGAACTTCTGTCAAAGAAGATAAATCTTGTTAGTTATCAAATATGATAATCAGTTAGAAATTTGCCAGGTTCAGAATTTTCTCTAGATTTGGAACTGAGTTTTTGCCACAAACTCAAATATACTAATCCCTAAATCTTTGCACCGAGTGGTGTAAACATTTGATATTTCAAACTTGGAATATTTTACCATAAGAATTCAAAGTTTGATATCTACGAGTACTCTATAAACTCAACACAAATAAAATACAGTTCAGAACTTTTTTTTACATTAAATGTTTACAATAGCCTTTAGCCTTGAGAATTGAGAAAGATAAAAATATTCTTTTAAAAACTAACTATAGTATAATAAAATTTCTACAATAACACTATTGGTTTTCTTATTCCTGTGATACTGATTTTCGCCATTCTTTCTTTCTTTTCATTCTGCAGGGGGGTGCGCGCCCCCCCCTCTCAGGTGCTAGGGGAGGGCGCGCGCCCGGCCGCCCCCCCCTAGTTGCGCCTCTGATTATGTGCGTATTATATGCGTATTGTGTGTGTATTATGTGCGTATTTTGGTGTTAAAATAATAAAGTATGATATCGGACGCTTTGTATATCATGCTTCACTGAGTTAAAAGGACTGGAGACCAAATTATCAGAAATTGTAAATTAAAATTATTTTAGTTATTTTTTTTTAAAGAAAGCTGCATCAGTTGTGTTAACGTGAATAAACTCTAATTTCATTTTAAAATGTGGCAAAAATAACACCTTTTATTTATTGTTTTGTAAGAATATGTGTATTTTATTATTATATATTAACTGTAAATCAAAATAAGCTAAATTCGATAGGAATTTGTAAATTAAAGCTAGAATAAGAGGTAGTTAATCTAAATCTTCATATCAAAGGCTACACAATAGTTTGAGCGGGTTGTAAAGATCAAACTTGATGTAGAAATTTCATAATGGTTTAGATTTTCATATTATGATCAAAAGATAAAAAAGGTATTTATGCAGTATATTATGAACGTAAGGAAAATATATTAATATTCCACGATTATGATTGAATGAATAAATTTAGATTTAGAATAAATATTCAAGTTTATGTACCCCCCCCCCCCTCCACGACCCAGGGGTCAAACGTTAAATCGACCAAATACACATTATAAATTGGTGAAACCCGCATTGCAGTGTTTTTGCGTGAGAGGGAAATTCTAGAAAAAAGTTTTCGAGTAAAATATTTTCATGTTTTGAAGTTAAAACAAATATTTTTGTTGAAACTTAAATTATGTAAAGTTTGAATGATTTAAAAATTTTGAATTTAATGTATCTTTAAAATGTTGGAAAGGATGTATATATATTCTAAAAATGTCTAAGCAGGTTTTTCT